TTTTGTAGCACTACGATCGAACATTATAAACGCGCAAAAATAAGATTGTCAAGTGACCGGTCAAGTTCAAAATTAACATTTTTCTAACATCTTTTGTTAGTACAAATTTTTCACAACTAATGAATGACTTCGAAAAATAAGATTTCTTCCAACATTGAAGTTAGCATCAATCGCCTATTTTATATGCAATCAAATCTTATTGAGTCTTCTACAAAAGCACATTATATAAAACAGAATTCAGTTTCCCTGCTAGACATTGAGAGAAAACCTTCATTGGACGTTGTAGTCGAAAAATCAACTTTTTAATAAAACTGTTTCCTTTGAAGCCTGTGGTTTTAGAACTCAAATGTTTTTGCATGATTAGAAAGCCCACATTGCATTGGTCAGACTCACATATAATGTGCCTCCAAGCATCTAAAGCCGAATGTAAAAAAAAATTAAACAAATGCACTTCTCATCTCTAATTTTGAGTTAAGTTGAAAGACACTTTTTCGGTCCAACTTATTCTTAAGGCTTTTTAGTCTTTGGTAAACATTTTGAATCAAATATTTTTACAGATTTTTGAAGTAGACACTTAGCTCTTTCTAACAAGCCCAAGATTAAGTCTCTATGAAGATTCGTTGCCATACTATACTGAAAAGAAAATTAATGCAAAACTTTTGCACCACCCGTTAATCTATTATTTATAGTATTATTTTGTACAACAATTGATTGATATGATCGATGTTTTATTATGACAAACTAATAATACTATTGTATATATTGACATCATTATTTTTAGTAGAATTTACACTATTTAAATATTTGATGTACTATGTGTCTAATGTACAAAATCTATTGGATAAAAAAATCAAAATTTCATCTATTTGTTCAAATTATGATCAAGATAAAAAAAAACAGAAGAGTTCGACAATATTTGAATATCAAAACTATTCATTTGCACAATAGAAATATTTGATTATTACTCAAATGTACAGCCTAATCGAAAAAATATTTATATGAATTGCACTGGATAACAAGTAAACAATATAACAAGATCAAGTAAAAAAAACACAAAAAGAGAGAAAATAACAGCTAAATCTATTGCATGAATTTGCTCTCTTTCCTTGAACGATCACATGGCAATAAAATTCATATGATAGAATTGACTTATTTGTTGACATGAATTCAATATTTGCTAAGATTATGCTTATTAATCTTTGAAATTTCTTGTATTTTTAGTGCATTCAGATATAAATAGACCTATAATATTATTTACACGCATCGTCCCTATGGATAGAAAGACCAAAATAGTCAATTTGTCCTTGACTGCATCTTCCAACAGAATAGAGAAAGAAAAACAGTCTACTCCGTTCTTTATCTCTCCGCTATCACTCATAATATCATGACATTGCAGAAGAAACGAGAATAGAAGAATATGGCAATACCAGAATAATATCATTCAGTGAATGTGTGTTCTGAGCAAGAATCCATATATCACCCGACCAAAGAACAGCGCAAACTGATCACATGAGCAAAATTAAATAACGAAGTTTAATTTGTAAGGCATGATCTTACAGGCTTGTCCCTCGCATGCCTCTTCTCTCTTATCAACACTGGTATATAAATACTGTCGATCTGCTTAGTTTTTCCTCAGAAAAAAAAAAAAATTGTCTATTATAAATTTGTTTTTTCAAACAAAATTAGTGAGTGTTTATTAATACTAAGAATCTCTATTATGAAAGCGGTAGATAAATATTAAAGTGTATTTATTTATTTCTATTAATACATATTTTTATTGATAGCCGAACTTTGCGTGTTTCTTTGACATAGATGGTGTGATTACGAAAGGTCCAAATTTCATTATAGTTGCTAAACCAACAATTCAAACATTGATTCAGCTCAATGTACCTGTTGTATTTGTTTCAAATACATGTATGCCTGAATCAGAAAAAGCTAAACAATTATCAGCTGTACTTGGAGTAAATGTGAGTTAATCTTTCTAATGTTTTTCATTCAAAATTTTTAAATATATATATATATATATACATATATTTAACTACAGATTCATCCTGAACAAGTTGTTCTTGCTCAAACACCGTTACGTACATTAACTAATTTTCATAATAAACATGTTCTTGTTTCTGGACAAGATCAAGTTGAAGATATTGCTCGCATGTATATATTTTAATTTAATTTATTATTTCTAATGCTTATATTTATTTAATTCTTTTTCAAAAAAAAAATTAGGATCGGTTTTAAAAGTATAACAACAATTGAAAAAGTTTGTGAAGCATTTCCAGAATTGGATATGGTTAATCATATGAATCGGGTTAAATTAGTAAGTAATAAACAACAAATTCCTTTCTTTTTTTTGTTTGTTTATATTTATTATATATTTTAGACTGAAATGATGCGTACTCGAGGTCTTGTTCATGATGAGAATTTTCGTCCTATTGATGGTAGATATTCATTTTGTTTCTCTTATTAATGCTTTCATTTTTTGTCTTGTTTTTTTCTTCAAGCTATCGTTTTACTTGGTGAACCCATTCAATGGGAAAGATCATTACAAGTTATTATTGATCTTCTTTTAACCGATGGTAATCCTGATGTTGTACCACCTGATTCAAAAACTAAACATGATCATATACCTATTATTGCTTGTAACAGAGATCTTGTATTTCAAGCTGCTGCAGATTTACCACGTTTTGGTCATGGTGCTTTTCTTACATGTTTAGAAACATTATATAAAGTAAATCATTCAAAAAAAAAATTCTATGAATTTTTATTTTTTCATTTCTATATAGAGTATAAGTGGAAATGATCTTAAATATACAGCATTTGTTGGTAAACCATTTGAAATTTCATATCAATATGCTGAAACAATAGCTAATAAAATAGCATTAGCTAATGGTCAACCAAAAATTGAAAAAATTTATTTTATTGGAGATAATCCAGATGTTGATATTGTTGGTGCAAATATGTATAATAAAATATTACAACAAGCAATCAATTTAAGAACAAGTATTAGTGGTTATAATTTATTATTAGATTCACCATTATTAAGTGCAACATCATGTGAATCAATTTTAGTATGTACAGGTGTTTATGAACCAAATAAAAAAAAACTTGATGATAAAAATCCATGGAGATTACCAACAAAAGTTAAACTTGATGTTTTGGAAGCTCTTAAATATATTCTTCTAAAGGAAACATGGCCATAGATTATCAATTATTAGATACATTATCATACATACATACATAAATAAATGAAAACCCATCATATTTTTTTTAATGTGTATAATATTGTGTCAGATGGTGTTTTTATCTGTTTGTCATTTATATTTTTTAATTAAAAATAATTTATTTGTATATGTGTATCTAAATATATAAATAAAGATATTGATAGTTTTTTGAGTAGTTGTAAGAAAAACAATTATTTATGAATCTTTTGTCTACTATAAACATTGATATTTAATATGAAGATAAAAACAAATTTGGTTGCTGAGGCTCAACAAGTTAGAATGCTATGATGATTTATTCAAATATTATAATATTTGTTTCACTTTTTTTTTGTGAGAATAATTTATAGAAATTTTCGAAGATGAACTCTCAGAAGTATCATGATAGATTGCATATGTATTAGAATTAGAAATAATGCTAACAACTTTGCAATAATAAATCCTAATATCAAAGAATTAAGATTAATTTTTAATACTAATGTTGTAATCTGACGCCTATAGTTCAAATCAATAAAGTCACTTGAGTAATTTATTTTATTGGATTTTTTTTTTGCAAATTTTAATTCTGATAATGCATAACTTTTTGTTTATTTATATCTACTAGATGAAAGCATACTTCATTGTTAATTATCATATTTATCTGTCGGTCATTCTACGATTGTCTATAAATAACTGAATGTCTAGGTTATCTCCTTCCAGTAACAGCTGTATACAATCAATGGCTTAATTTGTCTTCTCATGGCATTTTACATAAATAATATAATGAATATCACAAAAAGATCTATCAACATTAAAATAATAATTTATAAGTATGAATAAAATATTATTTATCTGTGTAAGTTATAAAGCAGCAAATAATTTCACTTATATTCAGCTATTCTTTTGTATCAAACATTCTATTATGTGGTATATCATGACAATAGAAGGTATCCCAAAAGTATCTTTCGAAATATGTGTTTTTTTGCATATATCTTTATTTTACCAATTATTCTTTGTTTTTAACTGATCGATGAAGAAGGCACCGTGTTTTTATTTATATGAGAAAACTTCAAAACTATCGCTTCTAGTTGATATATAAAAACAAAGTATGTAAAAAGACATTATGTAATCAGATTTTTTTTTTGATTGCGTCATTTTCTTACATGTTATTCAGATTCAATACATTCAATAAAACTTTCTGCTTAATGTTTAATGTCAACAAAATAACCTTAATATACTTCAAAGCTTTTTTATCTGATTTTATAGAAAAAAAAGTGATTTTCTAGCAACATGCGCTATCAACACGTTGCTTAAAGGCAGTAGACAACTGTCTGATCGATAAAGTTTAATGATCGGTAGTTTAGTAAATATGAACCGATCTTATGAGCTTTAAAATTAGTAGACTTGATACTTTTGGATTTCTTCTTATTGGAATATCTTCGGTTAAAGATAATAACTTTGAAGGATGATTCTGTAATTGCAATGTTTCAAACATTAACTATTATGATAATCATTAAATCTATATCATATTTAAGATTGTATATCAACATGCAAAACTTAATTTGAAATGAATATTTTATTTAGCAATCAATCAATATCGAACGATGGTATTCATTATAATGACTACGTAGTTAGCATATCCAGGATTCTATGAAAATAATTTTGAACAGTTTTAATAGTAGATAAAAATTATTATTCAAAACTTTCATTGCTATGTGATAATTAGTTTGGTATACAACAAATCTCTTATCTAATGAATCAAATAACTAGACAAGTAAAGTTTTTATTTATAGAATCTTCAGATATTATGGATTTTGCATGATCATACAGTTTTGAAAAATGCCACGTATTCGAATTTTCACTTAAAGAAGAAAAATTTAAGAAATCATTTTGAACGCTCTATACAAATCTATGAGAACTCAAGTAATTTAATTTGTATTAATAGAAACCAGTTTGTCACGATTGTATATACGTCTTCCATGTGTGAAAACATTAAATGAGCGTTATCTTTCTCTATACACAATCTTTCCTATTTGACATAGACAAATCATCAGTCTTTCTGTTTCTGTAAATAATACAACAATTCTCTCAGCTAAGTTAATCATATCTATTATCCTAATTACTCAACAAAAGAGCATATCGATATGTTGCAGGACGATGATTACAATCGCTGAAAAGATCAAAATTGATATTCCATATACTGTGATTTCATAGAATTTCAAGTCGTAAATAATTGTTAATTGATGTTTGCTTGTCACAGTATTACAAACATATTTTGGTAAGGGTTAGAAAACTAAATATTCAATCGTTTATAATCGTAACAGTGTGCTTAGCAAACGGAAAAATAAAACCATCTAAAATGATCGTGTTCTTTTCATTTGATTTAATTATTTTGTAGATCAAAGTTTTATTCTTAATCATTATAATAAAAGAACAATCAAATAATGAAGAAAATTGCATTTATTGAGCATATGATATACAAATAATATATTTTTCTTCTGTTGAATTATTTGAAATTTTTCTATGTGATCAAGAAATGTAAACCCAATAATTGGACATATTCAATTAATAAATATTTCTTCAGATAAATAAATTACATGAAATATTAGATTAAAATATTTTTAGAATCATCTCATACCTATATGATTTTATTTTCACAACTAAAAATAGATTCTTTGTTCTATAAGCAATTTTTTAAAGAAAACCAAAAGGTCATAATTCAAACAAATATCTTTTTTTTGTTTTTTTTAGTATTTTCTTCTAGTTATACATCTTATGTTATACTTGCCTATGATTGCTTTACTAAAGCAATATTTATATCAAGATACCTTTGACATGATTTATTTTTCAAAATTTGAATTTTTCTGATACACATATTATGAGAAAGTACATGATCCAAAAAAAGTCTTAATTATGACAATAAGAAAATGATAAACAAACTATAAAACGAGGTTTATGTATATTATTATGATTTACAGAAAATATTTACTAATATTATTAGCTGTACCTCTAATAAGAATATGCCGAAGAAAATTTTTTATTGTCATAACGAGAGACTAAAAAATTGACGTTTAAAATCAAAAGTCAAAGGATAGTCATATAAAATAATAAAAATATATAGTCACATATGCATTACACTTAGGTGAATCTCACAGTAATTAATTTTATTTTATTATTATTATTATTACTTTTTTTATATCATTAAAGAATAAACAACAAAATGAAACGATATTTACGACGAAACAGAAATAAATTCTTGAACTTTTCTATCAAAATAAAGCAAAAGTTTCATCCTCTTTTTCGCTCGTATATTTGAAGAAAGTGAAAAATAAATTAACTTACTTTTTAAAACACACAAACAAGCCATTAGCAAAAAAAAAGCCAGGTCTTTAATGATCATTAATTAATAAGAACAGTTTACATTCCAAAAAGTAATGGATTTTATATTTAAATAAAAAGGTAAAGTTATTTAGGTACCTGCTTATTAATAAATAAAATATAGAAGATGTGTACCATGCCTGTACTCTTCTTACTACTATTACAACTATTTATTTATATGAATTCCTAAATGAAAAACTTTCTTAAAAATTTTTTTTGACACATGTTGGAGTACATAAATAGATTCTGAACTTTTATGAAAAATATTTATTTATTCACTTGTCTGTAAATTGATATCGGAATCTATTTTAGCTAATAATTGCTTATTCTTTGTTTAATAGCACAAGTTACAAGAATATTGGAATTTAAATGTTTTAAAATTTAATTTCAGATCAAAAGTATGATGAATATGTCAAATAATATATTTCTGAAATTATAATAGACGATCCATAGAGGATATCTAAATAAACTTCACACTTTTCAAACTCCTTCTAGACGTTCAACGTAGAAAGAATCTACTCTTTCAAATATGCTTGCAAAATACTGCATACAATAAACGCATAAGAAGATAAACTATATTCGCAATTACAAGTAATGGGAGAATCCTTGTTTTAACAAACTCTCGCATGCGCATGCAAGAAAGTTCTAGAATGATCAAAAACCAAAGCATGAGTACGTAGCATGCTTGGAGCCAATTCAATTCTTTTCGAGCGAACTGCACCGCCTGATTGAAATTTTTGACCTAACAGACGAAAGACTGATGCATTTGATATATCAATTAACCAATCAATTCTTTCGAGAAATAGTCTATTACTTCAATTTTACAAAAACATACAATGTAAAGCTTCTATTGTCGGCTGAAAGGTAAGGGAGATAGTTCCTTTGAAATACCTGTATGAAATTGCGTTGACATTTCTTAAAATGCAAGATACCTTTCCTCTTGAAAGAAACTATGAGCTTCCAGTCTTACTCTTAAAACAATTGCATGTTTGAGATACTACAGTACTCTTTTTCATGGCAAAAAAAAGAAGATCCCTCATTCCTCATCTTTTATTAAGCATCATTCTCCAAAATATTTTTTGTACATCTTCCTATATTCTCTTCCATTTTTTCAAATGATTGTTCACAAGCCAGATCTGGATGGTTAGTCGCATGTAGTTTTTCTTCTCTGCTATCTTTGAATATTATCTAGTTAGACAATAACGTTAAGCTTAAGAGGACTCATGTCCCTTTCGTGACCCAAAAATTTGTTTTTTTAATGGTCATTGTATACTCTGAAGCAGTATCTATCTACTGAGTACATTTTGGGATCGAAAAATTGTCCGTTAACGTTGAAAAAAATTGAAAATCAAAATTATGTAGAATAAATATCATACACACTCGCAAAAGTATTTAGTTGAAAGTTTATTTCAAATTGAACATAAATTTGATTCATTTATTGTTGCCATTTATCTTCAAAGAAAATCGCTCAAATTATGTAATTTAATATGTGAATATTTTATAAAGAAATAATTTTAAGTGATTCATTCCATACTCTTTCTTTATGATTTGAATCAAATATCGTTCAACTATTTCAAATATGATTCAATCTATATTTAATAAAAATATAGAAATAAGATTATATT